CTCACGAATCAGCATACACGCTTTTAAATCAAGGAAGGGTCGATCGCAATCGGAACCCCAAGCCACAACAGCACACAACAGAAGAGAAAACTCATTCTGTTACGTTCGCTACACGCTCGCCTAGCGAGCTGCTAGCGAACGTTCGCCACCTTCTCGCCTAGCGAACTGCTAGCGAGCAAGAACAGAAGCTCCAGACTTCGTTCGCTACCTCATTCGCCACAGCGAACCCCCAGCGAGCTCTTCGCTACTCCTTTTGCTGCCAACGAAGGACACCAAAAACTTACTGTCCCAAGTCTGGGACCACTCGCCTAGCGAGCTGCTAGCGAGCGTTCTCTACACCCTCGCCTAGCGAGCTGCTAGCGAGTCGCCTGCGAACAGCAACATTCAGTTCTGTTCTAGCGCTTCCGAACTCACCGAAATCGCCCGATTAAATCCAAAGTTGTTCCAGTAGTCTTAGTCTAACATATATTGACTAATCTACGGTATCTAAACGTGATTCTAACCGATAAAACATCGGTTCTACCGATTTAACTCATTTATGCCCTAAATGGAAAAATGAGGAAAACATTCCAATAACTAACACAATCCATACATAATCATAAACATTGATAAGATGATGATACTTCACACCCTTACCTGATTATTTGCAAACTTTGATCGATTCTTCCAGCCTCTAGGTTTTTCTCTTCTTTCTTCCCTCTTTCTCTTCTCTTCCTTTCTTTCTTTTCTTTTTCTTTCTCATGTTACTAACTTTCTTTCTCTTCTCTTTTTATCTCATCTTTCTATTTCTTTCCTCTCAATTTCTTTCCCTCCACTAATTAATCAAATCTCATAAATTAACCACTTAACATTAAATAGGAAATGTCTAAAATACCCCCCAAAACTATTTTCTCCGAAAACTCCCAAATTCGGTTAAAATAGGATAATATGTAAACATAACATATTTCCACGCAAATTCCACCTCAAAATAATATTCGCCCAATTAAACCAAAAAGGACTCAACGAAAAAGGAATAATTGAAATCGGGGCGTTACAAAACATTATATGGTTGTCTTACATCACAATATGACCTGAGTGGTCTTTCAAAATCTTATATTGAATTGTAACTTAAAAAAAAAAGTTTGACCGAGGCCACCATAGACGACGCACCAGTCGGCCCAAAATAAAAAACTAATGGCCTACGACTTAAAGACACAAGTTACACCAATTTGTTGTTTTTGTTTCTACTGATGACATAAACCCTAACTTAGGTATGCATCGTTTCGTTCATCTCTCTCGGGATTGTAATTGAATTGCATAAATACTTACATTCATTTATTATGAATTAGAATATTTATTCAACATCTATAATATCATAGTCGAATATACTAATGATCTCTCCATTGTACGATCTCCGATTTGTGAGCATAATCTCTTTTGTTCTCTATAATAATCATCATGGTTGCCTTTTTTCTTCAGTAATTCAATATTGATTTGTTAAATTGTACATATTTTCAATATACATATAAGAAAAATCATATATACAATTCTTAAAACTAAAACATAGTAAAGTACTCAAATTTCCAAATTTCAAAATTTACTTTAATGTAGTTATAATTGAGGCCTAATAGTCTCACTTAATAATTGAAATATCTCAAATATTATTGTATTTCATGTTGAATTTACTTCCAACCTAATTGATAAAACTCTTTTGTGATATTTAAAGGATACCTTGAGAATAATCTCTAATTACCAAAATAGCTTAATACAAAATAAATGTTTCCAAGATCTTTCATCATTAAATTTTCATTAGAGATCTTTTGATTTCACATAATAAATTACACTCTCGCCGACTTAATACAACAAAATTGACATGTTATATAAGAAATATAAACTTACTCCCACTGACTTTATAATACTCACAATTTTCTCTCTTATTTATCTCAAAATCGAATGAGACAACAAACATTAAAATACTCATCTTAAAACTAAATAAAACAATTAACATCTTAATATTCATCTCAAAACAAAATGAGACAATAAACTTATGAGAGTATATGGTATTAGTAAAGAGATAACTTTATTAACTCAAATAATTTTTTTTATTTTTCAAATCATCTTTTGCTTGTCTATTGACACAAAGTTTTTCACGATTGCACTATACTATTCTATTAATATTTTAATTAAGAAATATAATTTTAACATTCATCTTATGTAAGTCCAAAACATATAATGAGTAAAGAGTGTCGTGACTAATCAAACAGAGAGTTTCAAGAAAACCAAATTGATTTTTCTTTATAGTCAATCCTTTTTCACACATGGTGTCTTAGTTCTTAAGGATGTTGAGTTTGATCTTGCTAAATCAATTTATCAACTTGCTTGAGAGAATAAATCATAATTGTAAGATATTGGATCAAATTCTAGTATTGTCGACAGAGGTTTAGCATGCCGTGGAAGTCTGCTCATGTAACACCTTTTTCTACCCCACAATTGATATGGCAAAAATAACACAGATATTAGAGTAAATTATTAAATTTCATAAAAGCCACCAAAAGGGCGTACATTTCTCAATGTCATCAAAATAGGTCAAGACTCTGTAAACAACGAGTTTTTCCAAAATACATCAAACAACATAAAACAGCGAAACTCAAAGGCATAAATCAAGGTTTTCCTCATCAGGGAAGATAAGCAAAATAACTCAACAGTATATAGTTTAACTCAAAAGAACCCAACCCGATGTTACATATCAGAACAAGACCCTCTAAGTTAACCAAAAGGATAACAACTCAAAACTTCAAAAATAATCCTCAACGACGTCCACGGCTAAACTTGATCATCTGCACGTTACCCACGTGGAGGTAACATTCAAATAGGCAGGATGAATAAAACGGTTCATAATAAAAGTGTTTAGTTTAAATATGATAAGTTAGAATATGAAGCATAAATCTAGAGCATACCTAATGACTGACGTCTTCATGTGATTTTTATGAAATACTCCACCAATATGCGTTTATAATCTTATTAGTAGAATATTAAAAAATTGGTACTGAGTACATACAAAAGCTAATAAATGATATTTCAAAAACGTATACATTGCATCCTTACATTTGAGTTATGTAGACAATTGAAATGTTAACAACAAAACTATAAGAAATGTATAGCGGAACAGAACTCAGGTATGATCTCATGTCATCTAGACACCAAAGCTTCTACTTCATAAGCCTTTTGGTGTCTACAATATACTTAAGAAACAACAACATGATTAGGGTGAGATAACTAAATATCAGTGAGTTTCTTTATCTTATGGGACCATTCGGCTCTACAGGTAAAGTTATCATCATCCCATACAAAGTCACTACAATCTCGCATAAATGCACAATCTAACAATGGAAGCTTCAAGCTTTATACTTGCAATACAATTAAGTAAACAAACCTCTATGCATTTCCCCCAATGAATAAGTATTAATTGATTCAATTTATTCTCCTTTGAAGGCTCATCACTCTCAAAAGGCATATGGAACTCCTTAACCATACGGCATCTGAGAACTTGTCACACCCAGCATTGATTAGGAATAACTCTCACTCTTAATCTTACTTCTGGGACTTACCTATTTGAGGTTTATAAAATTATTGGATTAACGTATTAATCTAAAATTCTCATTCGTTGCTAAGGTTCCTTATTTCTTAGGGTGGCTCACTCACCAAATGGCATATTACTAGGGTTCCTTATTTCTTAGGGTGACTCGCTCCTTATTCCTTATTTCTCAATTCTACTCCAGATAAAAAAAGCATTTACAAAAAAAATTGTCCCAGAATCAGAATGAAGAATCTAAAAGTGGAGACATTAAGAACGACAAAGGGTGTGGACTAGAATTCTCTACATTTAGTTATTTACAATTCACACATTCAAAAAGAGTGTGGAATAGAATTCCCTGCATTCATTCACATATTCTCACATTCAAGTAAATCTTTATCATTCAAATAAAATTCAATGATTAAGAGTACATAAATAAAAAAACTTTTTTAATAGCTAATCTAGCCCAAATGGGCTATGAAAGTTACTTTGATAGTAAAGAATCCAAATTCAAAGTGTGTGTTCTTAATCATATGTTGAGATGTGACTTAAAAGGGGCAACTCTTTTCTCCTTAGTCTATACAGTTAGTATATGACAGTGCTCCTTACGGAAGCCGAGATCCCATTAATGTGAGTCTTAACGGAAGTTAAATTAACAGAAGTTAGAATTGTGTCGGAACAGATATAACCAGTTGAATTTAATTGAAGAGAAGAGAATGACAATATTTTATCTTAGTCAATTGTATAAAAAGAAGATGAAAAAAAACATTTGATAAGAAGGTTTGTACTCGTGAGTTTAGAGAATGCAGTCTCATGCTCAAAAAGATCTTGTATATCCATAATAATTCACATGGCAAGTGGACTTTCAATTACAAAAAAGAACATGTGTTGTCAAGAGACCCTTCTCTGAAAGTGCATTGATTCTTATAACTATGGATGGTAAATTGTATAGAGCTCTCTCATCTAGTGAACACTTATAAATTTACCAAAAATATATTTTTAAAATAAATTTATTTATAAAATTGAGATGTGACTCAAAAACAAACTATATGCTTATTATGGTGTTAAAATGCATCTATGAAAATTAAGGATATTTTTTAGTTTTCGTATAGTGCTTAAAAAACATATAGGATGCATTAAAATATCCTCTTTTAGTTAAAATGTTGAATTTTAGTCGGTGGAGGTCAATAATCCTCCAAACCATAAAAACAACTAAAGAGTTTTATATATTTGATTCTTCCATTCCTACATATTTTCAAAATTCTCATATAACCCTTTTTGTATACTCTTTCATCTCAGTTTTATGGATTTTTCGCCCTCATTTAAGAGATGTACAAAATACAAAATAATGAGTTCTATGGATTTCTCAAGTTATTAAAATTTCAAATCAATTTGTAGCCTTGTAAAGATTTTAGCTTGAAATGCTTTTCGTTACAAGACCAAAGAATCAAGATTTCGTCTTTTTTGGGGTATTTGAGCTTCGATTGTTCAGTTTCCTCTTGATTCCCAGAAAGTGCTCAACCTGTAATAAAACATGTTCTTAACTGGGATATGTAAAAAATAATAATAATCATAATAATAACTCAAACTCATAAAGCAAAGTATGCATGTATTAAATAGCATAAAAAGTGAGGTAAATATTTTAATCAACATCTCTATGAAAAATTCTTCTTTGCAATGTGTTAAAATGAAACGAAATTCAACGTAAACAATGTCAATGTTGAGTAATATGACGAACACTAGAATAAAAATGGGCATGTCAATTATTTTTTCTAAAAAAAGAAGGGCATTTAACCTACTTAATATCTTGAGATATCAATACGTTCTAAACCGTGTATTTAAAATAGAAAATACTGGAAAGTGAAAACAGATGCAGCCATAATATAGAGTCTAGTTCTCGGGCTTGTGAAGTCTAATAAAGCTCTCAATTTAGCCTATAAAAATCCTAAACCAGATAATGCAAGGCTGTCATATTGGTGGCCTATAAACTTATCCAACAGACATGACAGGTTTAACCACAACTGCTGATGCAACTGAACCTGTTAAACAAATCTCCACCTCCTTTGTCTTTTAAAAGTATAATTGTCCTTTTAATCAATACATAATAGAAAGACAACTTGCATTTGTTTTACATTGAGCACTAATTGTCACAGAATAAAATCACAAGAACAACAAAATCCTAGGGATTGATTTTCTCAACTTGAACCAAAAGTGGAGATAAACATTTCAGACACCAAATTCCAAGGAATCCTAAAACATTCCATGAAAAGAGTGCGCTCCAATCTAACTCAGATGATATAGTGGTTACAAACCATCCGTTTTTAAACACTACTTAGTCTTGAAGAAATAACCAGGGTCTTTTTGCTTGTGCTAGATTTTTTTTATTTATGTTTTAGTTTTATGATAATTTATGTTAATTAAGTTTCTCAAATAAAAGCTTAAACCCGCCAAAAAAAATAGTTTTAGTACTTTTCTCTATAGTTGAAGTAGTAACTTTTGAAAAAATTGACATGTAAAGCACCCTTTTTTTCAAAGCCTATACAAATTACCTTCCGATCACCGAGCATAGGTGTCAAGCCACCAGGAAGATCCTTCTCAAAGGTAGCAAAACCACTTTTTGGGTCACTAGTTTGTCTGCCAATAAAAGAACACATACATCAGCATATATAAACTAAAAACAAGGAATGAGAAAGGACAAGCTTAATAGGTTTATTTATATTATTATTTTTAAACTTCCATAAAAGTGCAAAATACAGTATATTCAATAATATGGAATACAAAAGTTTTAAATCTTGTCAACATAATATTCATCCACTAACACAAAAATTAAAGGCATGTTTCACCATGCTTTTCAAAATGAAGGGTGGGGTATATAACAGCAGATGGAAACTATAGGATTCAAGTAGTGTGGATGGAAATGAACAAATGCTTTTAGGGTCGTTTGTGAGAGAGAAGGTATCATACATGTTTAATGTTCAAAGGAAAAATATACTGCACAACTTAAAGGTGACAGTTAAGCAGAAAAGTCATGTTATTGTTCAGTTAGATAGCAATAAGGGTAGGAATATATTCAGCTACGTGGGTGGTTATGTATTTTTAGTTATGCACAAGACAATTGTGTCACAATTAGGGCATTCCTAATGTATGATGAGAGTAGATGTAAATGGGCAGGAAGGATGTATATTTGGTAGTTTAGAGTTTAGACAGTTCATGCTCTGTAGGAATTACATAAATCTTGGACAGCACCTTTGCTTTAGACAGGAATGATGAATGTAGTTTAGAGTATGGTGTTTGATCCTAATCAACAAATATTAATCACCAAACTCAGTTGGAAAGAATATGGGCCAGTTAAAAGCCATCATAAAAGTATGCTCATTGTTGAAATGGATAAGGGACTACATGAGACAAGAACGTTTAGTGGGCTCCTATCGGAGAAAAGCATTGTCCCATCCTATTGTAGTTAATTTGTCTATGAGTATAGAAGATTCATAGAAGCACCCATGAGGAGGTAAAAAGAGACATAGAAAAGAAGCTATGACGGAAATTCAAAGTTGAAAGGTAAATGATCTATCTTTAAACACAATATATGATAAAGCATTATGACGTTGTATGGTGCATGCAGTTGACCCGACCTAGCGGAAAAAGGCTTGGTGGTGGTGGCTGTTCTCCTTGCTGTAGTCTTCAGATTTGAAGACAACATACCGCTTTTAAGCATTAATGTTTGGATAAGCGTACTGATTTAATGAGTCTTAGTAAAGAAACCATTTTCCTTGACCAAAAAATAAATAAACAACTTCCCAAACTACATTTTTCATAAACCAACCCCTACAAATGGGAAGAAGTGCAGAAGAGTATAAGTAGGGGGAAAATGAGATATGAAAAGATATGGACCGGTAGTCTCATCATCCACAAAGATAAAAACAAGGAATTACTCGGCACAATTAAATCATCAAATTATATCAAGTGTATAGTTGCTTCTTACTGCAGACAATAGATCAAGATATGGATCATTATATAGTGTCATAACTCAAACGTAATACGTATGGAAAATAAAGAAGACCCGATAGTCAAAAATGTTGACATGGAGGATAGGAAATAGACTTTGATGTAAAAAGAATATACCCCTTTATAGCAGCACCAACTTTTATCAGAAAATCACAAAATCAATAGTTAATCTTAGTATCCCATTCACATCAAATGTAACCATTTATTTTATTTCTATCAAAACTTCAAGAGTAAAAAGTTTGTGATGTTAAAAACATACCCTGGTTTAACATGGCCGCTGAGAACAAGATAGGGTGTCTTCATACGAGCTTGAGCTTCCCTCATTCTCTCCACAGACAACGATGGTGTATCTGAACTCTTCATTTGCTTCAATTTCAACTCTTCTTGAAATTGCTTCATACGCTTTTCCTGCTTCATTTTGCCACGTTCTTTGCCATGGAACTTATGAGAAAATTCTCGAAAGGCTTCCTTAGGAGTCAACTGGAAGCAATAAAAGAACAAGGTAATCAAGGATAAGTAACATTCAACTCTAATGTGAAAACTGCAAGGTGGAAATGAAAGATATCTCAACATTGATTAAAAATACATTTGAGGGGGAGTACCAATTTCAAGATACATTGTACAATGAAATATTATGATCATTAAGCACCCAAATCCATGAACATGTTATATACAAAAGCATGCAAACAAAATCTTTAGACTAAAGGTGTAGTACTCCTATATTCCTAACCACAGCTGACATTAATGAAATATATAATCATTAAGCACCCAATTGCATGAACACATTATATACAAAAGTATGCAAAGCAAATCTTTAGACTAAAGGTACAATACTTCTACATTCCAAACCACAACAGATATCACCTTTTTTGCTATTAGAAGTAAACAAGATATGATCTATAAAGCTTATACAAAAATAATGAACATCTTCACTCTCAAGTTACTTCGCATAAAAACAATACTAATGAGGAAAGTGGACCACGACCACCGAGTCACACAACAACTTGATCTGTTGCGCTGCGGCAAAGAGGAAGTGATCAAGTAACCTATAATTTCTTCTCTCCATAGACTACTAACACTGTTTCCTTTTTCGTGAGTTTTGCTTAGTCTCAGACCCTCTTACTTTCTCCCTTCCTCTCTTGTTCCTATGCATGCCTGCTAAGTAAATTTTCAACAAAAAAAAAACAGACGGACTCAAAGGTAATTAACCCCAACCCCCCATTCAGTTGAGTTTAGATGCCCCATAAGCCTGTAAGCTTTATTAAGTCCTATAGTAAACATCCTCGTTAACTACCATAATGCAAAAATGCAAATGCAGCAATCAAAAATAATATAATATGAACCAAGTGCTACAGTAAAAGCTAAATATGACCCCAAAAAATGATGAAAATGAATATGGAGGACTTACAATTCTCCCAAACTCATCTGTCCTCTCAATGTGAATCTCGTTTTTATTCTGTACTTCCTTTCCTTCATCCTCTACAATCCCAACCAATTTGCTTTTCTTCTTATCCATGTTTCTGCCACCCCATTCAATGCTTTCTTTAAGTGTTCCTCGGTCTTTAAGCAGTTTCAGTGCACCTGACAGTCCTTTCCCTACAGCAACTTCATGTATACTTTCATCAGGAACTATCACTTCCTTGTCTTCTGAGTTGGGTTGCTCATCTGTTTCAGTTTCTTTAACCTCAGTCCACCCGCCAGCCTCATCTTTCTTTTCCTCGACAGGAACATTTGCCTCTTCGAGATCATGCATGAAAACATCTTCACCTTCTGAAAAATAGAAAAGCAACACAAGTTATACCTATTTATCAACTTCCCCTTTATATACTCTTTACACCAACAGTTCTAACAAGCTGACAAAACAATGTTTCTATGTCAGAAACATCTACGATATCCAACTAAAACAGCACAGAAAGATTACACAACCTTCAAATATGTTGTGCCATTGAAATACTAAGTACAGATTAAACAGATTATTGCGAAAAGAAACAACCGATTTCAACAAAGAAACAACTACATAGTATAAGCCAATCCTAACTTGTTATAAAATACATTTTACCTGCTAGCTTACAGAGAAATGTTGTTAAAAAATTAAAAAAATATATAAAAAAAAAAAAAAAAAGATTATTCTCTTTTACATTTAATCAGAACAATCACACTTCATAACACCAAGATGGTATGAACTTAAAATTAAAAGGAAAAAAAAAACATAATCACATAAAAACTTACCTTCATCAATGTGAAGACCCCAAACAAATTCTTCCATCTCTGTAAAGACCACCTTATTTTCTCTTGACTCTCCAGCTGTAGAATTTGGATCATCAACGGTCTCATTACTAGGATTTGAGGCGGCAAGTAAAGCAATAGCTAGAGGGCCAGATGCTCCTTTCTCCTCCTGTTTCTTAAGAGCCAGTCGCCTTGCTTTCTCTAAGGATTTACGAAGATCCTCGTCATCATCTGCAAAAGTTGGGGTTTCATCTTCCCCTGTTTTATTGTACAGAGATTGTTCTAGACGAAGTAACTTGGAGGCTTCATCTGCTTTAGCATAAGCAGACTGGTAAGCATTATTTCTCATTTCAGCTGCCAATCTTTCTTGTTCATCTTTGATGGCTTGCCTCTTTGCATCTTTCCGAGAACCAAGGTCGCCAACACCCAATCCTGAAGAGATAGCTTCAGCTTCAAGAGCATTAATGTCCAGCTTATCTTTCTTCTGTAAGGACTTTTTCTTCTTGGGCTTCTTAAATTGAAGCATTTCTTCATGAGAATAGTAGTCTGATGATACCTTTCCAGATGAAGTAAGGTCTTCAAAGTTATTAGTGGAAACACCAGTTAACCTTCTTCGGAGCTGTTAATAGGAAAAGATACCCCTTAGCAAACAATAAAAGAGTAAAACACATACTGTATATATACATGTAGCTAATTCAATAAATTTCTAAGGAACAATGACAAGAGGAAAGAAGTAGTATGAAAACAACCAGAGATATGTAGTAATAGAAAATGCAGTTGCTCTTTCCATTTTTGGTTGTAACTAATTCTATTGCATTGGAAAGTTAGTTACAACAGTTGGTAACTGGTTGTATTTATAACAACTAGTTTAACCTGCTGTAGCATGTGATACATCTGACAGGTGTCAGTTAGAACTAGATACAAAGCCTAGACTTAGCTAACTAAAACTTACCTCTTCAAGTTTCTTTTCAGCTTCGCCTGAGAACCTTCCTCTTTCATCCAAAGTTAAACCCTGAATAAAAAACTCAGATGAGTATAAGCATTCACAATAACTACCTTGCTCAACAATTTATGCTTTGGAATGTAAGAAACAATGAGCGTCAAACCTCTTGGGCAACTGGATCATCATATTTTGGAAGTATTTTCTTTTCTGCAGAGGGATCATCATTGAACCTGAAATTGATAACCATGCTTGATCAGATTAAAGATTTGATTCTACAACATTTCAGTTTCTATATACATTGTTTCAATCATAACGGACGATAGTAATGATCATCTTACTTATCGTCGTATAAGCCAGTTTTCTTTTTTGCAGCTTTATAAGCATCATCTCGGCGTTTTTGTTCCCCAATTTCCACATTCTCAAGCATATCAACGTCTGGAGTGTGAGAAAACAAATTATTTTACACAATGATGCACAACAATTCATAGAACTCAAACAAGAACAATATAAGAACACAATGATGAGATCTCGGAAGCTGCTTCAGATTGTTTATTTGTTCTTGTTTCTTTCCTCCTATCCAAAATATTGAAGATATATATTAAGCTGGTGGTGGGTGTATTGCTTGCACTTCTTTAAAGAGGAACAGGGATGATGGGCGGCGGTCTTCGGTGAGGGGAGAAGAGGATTTCGTTTTTGTGTTGTTGTTTGACTGTGATGTTGTTCGATAATGGAAAAAATGGGTTTCGGATTTGGTTTAAGGTGGGTTAATGGAGGAAGAGATGACCAGTAGGGAAGGTTAAATGGTGGATTTGCGGTTTGGAAGAAGAGGAGGTTGAGGGTTGAAGAAGAACGTGGCGTGCTTTTGATTTTTTTATTTTTTTAATTACAATTAATCATTAATTAAACTCTAATTAACTTCTAACTATAATTCTAACAAAAACTAATCAATCTAATTCTATTTAATTTAAATTAAACTAAATAAATTTTAATTTTAACTAAATTCTAATTACAATTTTTAATATAAATTCTAAATTATTTTTCAAAAATTAAAATACTAATTCTAATTAAATCTTAATTAACTGATAATTTTAATCTTAATCTAATTATATACTAATTTTATTCTAATTTCTAAAACTTTAATTTCAAATAAAATTCTTCCATCTCCGTAAAGACCACCTTATTTTCTCTTGACTCTCCCGCAGTAGAATTTGGATCATCAAAAGTCTCATTACTAAGGTTTGAGGTGGCGAGTAAAGCAATAGTTTGAGGATCAGATGCTCCTTTCTCCTCCTGTTTCTTAAGAGCGAGTCGCCTTGCTTTCTCTAAAGATTTACTAAGATCCTCGTCATCATCTGCAAAAATTAGGGTTTCATCTTCCCATGTTTTATTGTACACAAATTGTTCTCGACCAAGTAATTTGGACGCATTAGCATTATTTCTCATGTTTGAATTAATTTACTATAGCCGTAACTTTAACACAGTGAAAAGGTTTAACGAACTAACCTATATATAGGATAAAATGCCAATTAGGGTTACCATGATTTTCATATCTAACTTATTCATAAATAAATATATAAATAAATAAATAATTAAGTAGTTATTGTGATAAATAACATGCAATTAGTATAAATATATATATTTATTAAATAATTATTGGAATGTAATATTTAAATAATATTTAAATATAAAACATTCTAACAATCTCTCATTCACACAATATATCTTTAATAATTATATCACATTTTTTTAGACGCGCATTCGAATATTATTTATCTTTAAATTTTAACTTTATAATTTGATTCACTTTATATTGTCGTCACTGACGTGTAAATATTAATTTATAAAAGTATATAATATATTTGTATTAATATTTTTATTGAGATTATTTTTTGTTTAAATAGTTAACAATAATTTAATAGTTTATATTTTATAAAAAATAATAATATATTTTTAACATGATAAAAAAATATTAAAATTTAAAGAAAATATTCTCTCAATATAAAATGGGTCGTAATTTATAAATAGATACTTAAAAATAATATGGGGCTATCTCAAATAAATGCAAGTAAATGGCTAATAGAGAGAGAAAAAAAAGTGAAATGGAAGAAATGAATTGTTTTTATTTGTTTATTTTTTTTTCATTTATGTAAGTAATTAAGAATGATAAATTATAATTTATGAATAAAAAAATGATTCACCAAGCTTGAGCCATTAAACCATGAACCAAAAGCTCCACATTCAAAATGACCGTCCAATTTTTAAATAATAGTTTCAAATCTCAAACAGTATCCCAAGTGGTCAACTTCATAAATACTACAGCAGTACTTCTACGGCTACTCCCTATACCCAGTTTAACATGACCGCTGAGAACAAAATAGGGTGTCTTCATACGAGCTTGAGTTTCCCTCATTCTCTCCACAGACAACAAAGTTGTATCTGAACTCTTTATTCGCTTCAATTTCGATTCTTGCTTCATAAGCTTTTCCTGCTTCCTTCGGCCACGCTCTTTGCCATGGAACTTATGAGAAAATTTTCGAAAGGCTCCCTTAGGAGTCAAACTTCTTCCAAACTCGTATGTCCTCTCAATGTGAAACTCTTTTTTATTATGTACTTCTTTTCCTTCATCCTCTACAATCCCAACCAATTTGCTTTTCTTCTTATCCGTGTTTCTGCCACCCCATTCAATTCTTTCCTTAAGTGTTCCTCGATCTTGAAGAAGTTTCAATGCACCTGACAACCCTTTCCCTACAGCAACTTCATGCATACTTTCATCAGGAACCATCACTTTCTTTTCCCCAACAGGAACATTTGCCTCTTCGTCGTCATGCATGAAAACATCTTCACCTTCTGGCTTACATGCTTCTTCATCAATGTGAAGACCTCGTACAAATTCTTCCATCTCCGTAAAGACCACCTTATTTTCTCTTGACTCTCCAGCGGTAGAAAATGGATCATCAACAGTTTCATTACTAGGGTTTGAGGCGGCGAGTAAAGCAATAGCTTAAGGGTCATATGCTCCTTTCTCCTCCTGTTTCTTAAGAGTGAGTCGCCTTGCTTTCTCTAAGGATTTACGAAGATCCTCGTCATCATCTGCAAAAATCTGCAAAAACTAGGGTTTCATCTTCCCATGTTTTATTGTACACAAATTATTCTAATTACAAAATTTAATATAAATTCTAAATTATTTTTCTAAAATTAAAAAACTAATTCTAATTAAATCTTAATTAATTGATAATTTTAATCTTAATCTAATTAATAATTTAATTATATACTAATCTTATTCTAATTTCTAAAAATATAATTTCAAATAAAGTTCTTCCATCTCCGTAAAGACCACCTTATTTTCTCTTGACTCTCCAGCGGTAGAATTTGGATCATCAACGGTCTCATTACTAGGGTTTGAGGCGGCGAGTAAAGCAATAGGTTGAGGGTCAGATGCTCATTTCTCCTCCTGTTTCTTAAGAGCGAGTCGCCTTGCTTTCTCTAAGGATTTACAATAGGTTTTACTGTACACATAATTGTTCTCGACGAAGTAATTTGGACACATTAGCTTTATTTCTCATGTTTGAATTAATTTACTATAGCCGTAATTTGAACACAAAAGTGAAAAGGCTTAACGGGCTAGCATATATATATATATATATATATATATATATATATATATATATATATATATATATATATATATATATATATATATATATATATATATATATATATATATATATATATATATATATATATATATATATATATATATATATATATATATATATATATATATATATATATATATATATATATATATATATATATATATATATATATATATATATATATATATATATATATATATATATATATATATATATATATATATATATATATATATATATATATATATATATATATATATATATATATATATATATATATATATATATATATATATATATATATATATATATATATATATATATATATATATATATATATATATGATAAAATGTCAATTAGGGTTACTATGATTTTCATATCTAACTTATTCATAAGTAAATATATAAATAAATAAAAAATTAAGTAGTTAATGTGATAAATAACATGCAATTAATATAAATATATATGTTTATTAAATAATTATAGGAATGTAATATTTAAATATAAAACACTTTAACAATCTCTCATTCACACAATATATCTTTAATAATTATATCACACTTTTTTAGATGCGCATCCGAATATTATTTATCTTTAAATTTTAACTTTATAATTTGATTCACTTCATATTGTCGTCACTGACGTGTAAATATTAATTTATAAAAGTATATAATATATTTGTATTAATATTTTTATTGAGATTATTTTTTGTTTAAATAGTTAACAATAATTTAATAGTTTATATTTTATAAAAAATAATAATATATTTTTAACATGATAAAAAAATATTAATATTTAAAGAAAATATTCTCTCAATATAAAATGGATCGTAATTTATAAATAGATACTTAAAAATAATATGGGGGCTATCTCAAATAAATGTAAGTAAATGGCTAATAGAGAAAGAAAAAAAGTGAAATGGGAGAAATGGATTGTTTTTATTTGTTTATTTTTTTCATTTATGTAAGTAATTAAAAATGATAAATTATAATTTCTGAATAAAAAAATGATTGTAATGCAAATTATACTGATAGTAAAGATTTGTTAGAAAGAGTGGATAATGGAGATTGATTTGAGAAAGTGGATGGTGGTTACTAAAATTATGGGAGTGGGAAAGTTATAATATTTTTATTGAATTAATTAATTAGAAATATGTATTCTATTTAGTTTTTTAGAATTAAATTAGAAACGTGTTTCATATTTAATTAATTATTATTATTTATTATACTTAATTAATATTATTATTTAGATTTATTAAGATAAATTTTTGTGAGAGTTATTTAATATTAGTTATAAAAATTTAAATATTATGGATTAATGAAAACAAAGATATAATTGAGATCAAATAAACAATTGTCCAACTTTCAATTAACAAATCGATTATTTATTAATATAAATTTTTGCGGGAGTTATTTAATATTAATCATAAAGACTTGAATATTATGGATTAATAAAAACTAAGATATAATTGAGATCAAATCAACAAATTGGCTAACTTATAATTATCAAATTGAGTCAGCGCGACGTAAAGAAATTACAACCTTACAACCTATAAAAATAAATAAAAGTACAGTAAAATATACCAAAAAATAAAAACAAAACAAATAAAAACAATAAAAATAATAATGTTGAAACTCTTATATAACACAATGTTAGTTTTAATACTATAATCTCTTGAATATGTTTCATATTTAATTTGTATAATTTAATTAATTAATTATTTATTATAATTAATTATTATTATTATTATTATTATTATTATTATATTAT